ATATGTACAACACACCATTGATATCTATTCATGTTTTCAATGGGCAACTGATTTGATTTCAGTAAAGGCTGATATGGTAATCAGACATTTGCTAGAAATTATGACTGTCATGGGTATATCTGTACAAATAAAGACAGACAATATATCTCAAAGAAAATAAAACATTTTTGCTTATTATAAAATAAAGCATATTATAGGTATAGCACACAGTCCTTCAGGCCAAGCTGTTATAGAAAGATCAAATCGAATGCTAAAAGATATATTAAGTAAACAGAAAGAGATGATAAAGACCACCAGAAATAAACTGCATAATGTTTTATTAACTTTGAATTTCTAAATGCTAATGAGAAAGGAACAGCAGCTGTGGAGAGACATTGGATAACAGAAAAAACGACAAAATTCAATCAGCTGATATACTTTATAGATGAACTGACCTCAGAATGGAAACCAGGACATGAGTTATGTTGAGAAAGGGGTTTTGCTTTTGTTTCCACAGAAGAAAAACAGCTATGGGTATAATCAAAATGGATAAATATTCGATTTAAGCATGGGACACCTCTTAATTAGAATAGAAAATAGTTTGGCAAACAGTGTGGCCATTTAATCTAAATTAACCTAAAAAGCTAACAAATGCTTTTCATTTGATCAGAAATAACTTGCCAAAACAGAATCTTACCAAAATTATGGCCAAAGAAGGGGTTTTCTTCTGTCTTTCAGGAGAATAAAGATATCCAGTTAAGGAATTTGAAGACCACTGGGCAAATGAGTCATTTAAAGAAAAAGAGCTAATCATCCAGAAAACATGTTTCAGGAAAAAGAGTAAACTGGCCTATTGTATATTTCCAACAGGATAAATTTTATAAATCTTCCAAAGTTTTTGGTTCTGATGTTTTCTATAGATATATAATCAAAGTAGTAGTCTTGTTGTGGTCCCAGTCTAATTAAAATTAAAGTGACTGCCAAACATTGTCAAGACACAGAGGGACAGTCCTTCAGAACATCCCCAGTCACAGAAAAGTCTGTCAGATAGGCTAGACCTGTTGGCCAAAGATGCCAACATCTTTGCAGAGGAAAAAAGCCCAATCATTGCAGAGGAAATTTGGGTGACTGTCCAGGCAGCCAATTGTTTCTGTCATTATTCACATTTTTTTGAAGTTGTTTGCTTGCACTTCTTGATTACTCAGTTACTAATATTTCTTGGGTCTTTGAGGGAGTTAAAGACTAAATAGTTACAGTTTTCCTTGTTTACCTTACTCAGAAAGCAAGTTATGATAAAAAGTAAGCTAGGCACAAATCTTTGCGTTCACCAAGACAGGATAGATACAGAGCATTTTCTCTGATTTTTGTCAAATGCAAATGGACATTGTTGATATATTTATTGTCTGCATATATTATATATAGCTATTATACTTATTGCATATATTATATTAGTTATAGCCTTTTAAATTTATACAAAAGGGAAGTGTAGTCATATTTCATTTGTATTTGAATAAATAAAGCTTGCTTGAACATCAGAGCACAAAGCAGCCACACTTGTCAGTCACACAGGCCAGAGACTGGTGGCATACAACTTCAATCCTAGCAGTCACACTAGGTAGCCTTCGAAGCTGGGTGGTGGTGTTTCACACCTTTAATCCCTGCACTAGAGAGGAATATAAGGCAGGATGAAACAGGATCTAACTCTCTTTCAGTATGGAGAGTTCATAAAATTAAGGGCTCTCTAGTGGCTTGGCTGCTTTGCTTTTTGATCCTCAGGTTAAACCTTCTCTCTGGGTTTTTATTAATCATGCTACACCAAATATTCATGAATAGAAGCATTCAGGGAAAAATTAAAGACAAACCAATGGTTAAAGAGCTTACTCTGTCAGCATGAGAATAGTTTGGATCTCTAGCACCTACATAAATATCTGGAGGGTGTTGTGGACATAGGTACAGCTTGTGAAGATGGAGAGGGGATCCCAGAGCAAGCTGACCAGCTGAGCTAGCCACAGAAGTGAGCTGTGGGTTTGACAGAGAGATCCTGCATGGATCAGTCCTGTATAGAGTGATGGAAGGTGATTTCCAGCATCAACCTCCTAGTTCCACATGCATTTACATGCATGTACTCTCCCACAATTAAAAACTGTGCACATAAATTTGCAAACTACATACATGCATATACATAGGAAAATGAAAACAATGAAAAAAGAGGCATACAGGCATGCAGAAAAATGGTATTTATGTTATTTTTTGTGCCATATCTGATGTTGGGTATTTTTTTTCATATTGTCCCATTAAATCTTGATAGCAATCTTTAGGGACATTAATATAAGATGGAGATAAGGAAGTTTCAGATTAGGATTTTAAAATCTGCCATGGCTATATTCCCATAAAACTGTACAGCAGCGGTTCACACTGGCAAATATTTGTGTTTTCTGCTGCACCTCACTACACTCTGTGGATAATGATGGCAATGTTCCAAGAAAGCAGGCAGCAGTGGGGTAAGGAAGCTATACCTATTTTTCATGAATTTAACAACAAATGGTTATTTGCTTTCAATGGAAATTTCTTAAGATTAAAATATTGAATTTCTGGGACTATTATGAGTTTAAAGCAGACACTTTATTTTAGGAAGCCATGGACACTTAAAATCTCACCGGACATCTAATAGATGGAGCTCAAAGCATTTTGTTAACACTGGAAAAGCAAAGATTGTTTCCAGCAGCTCTCTTGCTACCCATGGGAGCCAGGGTGGTAAATTTGCTTGACCTCAAGTATTTCAGGTGACAAGATTTTGTCTGTATGGGAAAAGGTTTCTTAACCTCCAAACACTTTGGGTTCAATAGGACCTTTGGGGGAATGCTCACACCTGCAGGCTCAGACCGTGGGAAGCTAGTGGCTGCTTGGCAGAGGGCTATGACAGCTCTCCACATCTATTCCCTTATCTCCTGATTACACTGCTTTTCAGAAGCTGTCCCTGGGGTAAATCTCTTCGATTGATTTTGCTGTCAGGAGTCAGTTCAAGTTCATGGGAAAGGAAGATTAGTACCTCACTGGCTAAGTGCTTTAGCAATTTGCCCTATGTGTTAAATTATGGGCTTTATCAGCTCCGAGTTGGTTAATTTCCAGAGGAAGGCGAAAATGATACTATATGTGCCAATCCTTGATCTTCACATTTCAGTCACTGGGCAGTGAATTTAGGAAATGTAGTAAAAACTCCAAGTCCTAGGACTGAATTTTTAATGTTACCAGCAATTTCTGTCTCTTTGGCTAAGTCTGTTTCTCTGAATTGCTGTAGAGCCTGCCTCCACTATTGTCTCCAATTTATTTAAGGAAGTGTAAGGGTTTGCTAAAAATAGTTATATTATTTTTAGTCTTATTCTTGGTTTTTAATTTGTGTGAGTGTATGAATGATATGAGTTTAAAACCAAAGCAATGTGATGACAAGTGAGACCAGAAGGCTGCGTCCATATCCACAGCTGGGAGAAAGCACTGTTTTCAAGATTCTCGTGTGACTCCTACAGGGGGATAGTAACTTATCGTCACCTCAGTATTTGCTGTTCTCAGGCAAGCCTCACTGAATTTCTAAAAGCAATAACTATTCTTTAAAAATTATTTCACACTGCTAGGAATCTCCAAACAATGTTAGTTACAGGGCTAACTAGATTTCTATTTTGCACACCAATTTGTGTCAGAAGCAATGGGAAGGGCTTCCAGCAAATTCTTTTGTTGAACATGGGAGAGGCTTGCTGGAAGCCTCCTATGGCACTATTATTACCTCTGAATACTCTGCAAAATTCAGAGGAGTATTTCCTCACAATGATTCCTTGCCATTTCTCTGGGTGATAGAGAAGTAGATTTCACTCTCTGATTTGTCCGACACCTCCTTGGCTTCTGGTTATTTCCTCTTCTCCTCTTTGACTTACTCCATCTTGTCCATAGTTACTGGTTGAATGGCACTTGGAGGTTGGCTATGGCATTCTCACAGTTTGAAATGTCTTATTTACATGTAGACACCTGTACCTATTGGGTACAGACTTAACTCTATCGTGAAGATATCAGAAATATTTCCTGAAATATTCCTTTGGTTTTGGTTTGAACCTACTGTTTATCAGTACTCCTCAGTAGCAGTCAAGGGCAGCGACACAGAACTGAAAGAGACCATGAGAAGAGAACTTCAGGGAGGTCGGTACAGCTATAGTCACGATAGAGGTGAAGGAGTGACAAGAAGTTTGCAGGAGTTAGGCTGTATGATGAGGGGCTCTTTCCAGTTTTAGTTTATGTTACCATAGTGTTTGTATTTATTTCTAAAGAAGTTATGATGTCTGGTCTTTCATAAAACTGTAGTTCCAATATAAATCATTTTCCTGTTCATCTCAATGCATTGCTTTTTGCTAAGCAAGTAACCATTTTGGGATGAATAGTAAGGCTGAGGCTCATCCTTCACATTGCTCCCACTGAGTGAGACCGAACCCTGAATATATTTAACCTTAGAGCTACATCCCAGCGGACAAGTCACTTTTGAAAGCACTCCTTAGAGTTGAGGAATCTCCTTCACTTACCTACAAACCACTTGAATGGACCATTGCAAAACCTGAATACCACCACCGTCCTTACTTAAAAACATTTAGCAAGCTTTCCTTACCCAATTTCCGGGCTCCCAGCCTCTCTAACTTTCTTTCCTCAGGCTCAATGTCAGACTTCACTCATTTGATCCTTGATCTTCCTGTTCCCAGAATTGCCTGTTTTCCTAGGTGTTTCCTTCCAGGCAGTGACTTTCATTTCCCCAACCAATGGCAGCCTCCTCAGCACATCCTAGGACTCATTCCTAGCTTCCCTCTTGGAGCTGCTTCCTAAGAAAATAGCAGAAATATGTTTTGCTTTAGATGGACACACAAGGTGTCTAGAGTGCTCTACTTTCTTCGATGCATGTTTCTGGAGCCTGTCTGGTGAAATGGAATAGTCAACTATAAATGGTCATTTCCTCACTTCTTGTCATGAGATGACTCTGCTGAACATCTCTGTCTTTTCACTTCCTTTTCGCATTCTCCTTTTCTGTCTCAGGAGCTCAGGTTTCTTCAGTGTCCTCTTGTCTAGGTTTTCTCAGGTTCTCATCTTTTTAAGACTGAAGCCTACATAGGATCAAACCAGTCAGAATCTTAGCATAGAGGAGGTAGAGGAACTCATAATTTTTATTTTTTTATTCTTTTCTCATGCATTATATTTTGAAAAGTTTCCCCTCCCTCCACTCCTCCTTGCCCTAGATCCACTTTTCCTCTGTTTCCCTTTGGAAAGAAAGAGCAGGCCCCCCAGGGATGTCAACCTAACACTGCATAAAAAGGTACAATAAGATCAGGCACAAACCCTCATAGCAAAATGGAATGAGGCCACCCCACGGGGGAAAAGGGTTGCAAGTGCGGACAAAAGAATCAGAAACACCCCACAACTCCCACTGTTAGAAGTCCCATGAGAACACCAAGCTACACAAGCATTGTCTAGGCAGAGGACCTAACTCAGACCCATACAGGGTCTGTGTTGATTGCTTCTGCCTCTGTGAACCTCTGAGAGCCTTGTATTGTTGATTCTGTGGATTGTGTTCTCCTGGTGTCCTCAACCCCTCTTTCACCTACAATTCTGAGGATCTTGTCTTTATCTTCTTTCTTCACATGTTAAACTTCCCTCATTCTATAACGTGTGCCCTCCTGATCTTTCTACTCTTCTCCCCTCAAGGACTGGCTGTCTCAAATCTGTGTCTCATCTTCCTAACATTCACCTCTCATTTGGAATTCGGGGACACTTCTCTAAGAAATGCAAGACTTGGGGTTGGGGAAATGACTTAGTCATTAAAGCTCTTGCTATGCAAGCATGTGGACCACAGTTCAGAACCCATGTAAGTGTGCAGTAGGGGGAAGGTTTCCTGTAATTACTGCCCTGGACGGTGGAGACAGTGATCCCCAGAGCAAGCTGGCTAGCAAGACTAACCATATTGGGAAGCTTTGGACTGATGGAGAAACTGTGTGCCAATGAATAATGGAATAACGAAAGAGTGATGCTTTCTTGACATCAACCTTGGGCCTATACATGCCAGTACAAAGGCACGCATGTACACTCTGTACACTTATGCTCACATATATGCAGAATATGCACATATATACATGGATTTCATACAGATATGAAAATGGAGAAAGCAAATAAAAGAGAATTATTGAGTTCAACACTTGTTCTCTCCTGAACCTTGTTCCACTTCTATCCCTAAGATATACAGGAGGCACTTCTGATATTTTCTTCTTTTTGTATTTCCATTTCTCTTCTGCATTTTTCTGATCCTGTACCATGGGGATCCTCTCCTTAGCTATATCTAGAATTTTTCTTCCTTGACTCCATTCTCAGTAAGAAGACATCTTTTTAGTTTATCTCCAACTTAGTTATCTGCAGTCTATCAACAACAGAATTTAAAATTAGCCTTCCAGAACACATAGAAATTTGGTAAGTGATACTCATAGGTTAACTTTGTTCCTTGTGTATTTGTAGTTGTTGTTGATGAGGGTCATTTAAGATCCCTGGCCTTGACATTAAACATGTACATGAACTTTTATCTGCCTGTCATTCTCTCTGTTTGGCTGTAAATGTCCCTTCTACAGTTTATGGCCTCTGTGTTTGCCTTCATGGATTCTGCTTCTGTCACTTCCATTTGTTCTTTCCTTGGTGTCTTCTTCAGTCTTCAGGTACTGTCTTTCTTGTGAACTTTCCTGAAATACCCCTCAAAAGAGTTAGTGACTGCTCTCCTTGGTGCTACCTCAGAACTTGGTAGATGCCTTCATAAGATTTATAAAAATAAAAAAATCAAGCATATATTATTTTTAAAAGAAAGGCTTTATATATTAACTATATGAATAAAATTAAATTATGTCTAAAAATATGATGAAAATAGAAGCTGTGTTTTAAATTTGCTTTTTATATTACATTTTACTTAAAGTGTGTTTGTGTGTGTGTGTTTGTATGTGTATATGCCACAGCATGTATTTAGAGGTCATAGGGCAACTTATAGGAGTTTGTTTTCTCCTTATATCACATGGGCCTTAAGGATTGAACTCAGGCATTAAAACTTGGCAACAAGTTTGTTCCTCACAAATCCATCCCACAGTTCCAAACTCTGTCATTTATCATTGTTTGAAACTAGATGACACTGTAGAGATTTGATATTCTTTTGGTATAACTGAACCTAACAAATGTCCCTGTCCATTGGGTGATTATTCTGCTGTTAGAATATGAACAGAAATTTCTGGAAAGGTAAATATAAATGAATAGTTATTGTATATAAGTTTTGAATCAGCTTTCTAAAATATTTAAAGGCAAAAGTATGGTTGACATGTATTTAACTGAATACAAACAACAGATATTAATGATCTAATGATCTCTCTTTAATGAGAAAGAAATAGGTCTCAGGTAGTTTAGGCAGAGAAATCCACGCTTCTGCTTTGTTTGCTTGTCAGGCTTTCCCCAGAGAGGAAAAAGGAGGAAGAAGAGATGAATGTGGTATCTCTTGGTTGAAGCAGGAGAAAGTACTATGATGGTTAAGGCAAATTCATAAGGAAATGTACTGGCTATCTATGAGGTAAATTGATTCATAATAGCACAGTGATGTCATAACCTGAAAGCCATGCAGCTCTGCCAGGAGTCTCGGCAAAGGTCACCCTACAGCTGGAGCAGAGTGCACTTACTCACTGCTTCAACTCTTACACTTCTTATAGAATGATGAAATTAGTATTCAGTGATAAATAGGTCTTCAGGGGATGGACTAGGTGTGTGCTCAGTTCACTGGCAGTCTGATGAGAAATTTTACTGCCCTCTATGTCAAGGGTTAGTAATAAGAGCATTTTATTTTGAGGTTAAAATCCATTTCAGTCAAGTGGATTGCAAATAATTACATTGGAGGACAAACTCACAATTTTCTAGTTTTAGAGAAAGCAGAATTGTAAATGAAATTTAGGTTATAATAGCAATTTAAAATAATGATAGACATGGAATGTTCCAATTGAAAAGGAATTGACATCCATTCAATTTACTGGGGCTGGGTACAATCTCGTGACTTGTTGCAAGCCTAGTGAGTAAATGGCCAAGCCTCGGTAAGACTGTGAGGATTGACTATGGGTTCAATGTGCTTTGTGTCCTCACAGTTCTGACTGACTGCTCCCCACCCCAACCCAGAAGGATAGTCTGTTTTTAAATTTTCTCATTTCAAGTTAGTAACTTTGGTATTTTAGCTGCTTTGAATTTTTCAATAGCTTTAATCCATTTATCTTTTTCAGATTTAGGATTTCTTTAAATAGTGACATTTCTTGTTAATATTCATGCCCTCCTACACAATCGTAAGTTGACTTGGAACACGGTACTCTTTGAAGCACACTTACGAGAGCACGCCGCCTCAGTGCAGGAGCCACTTTGTGACGAGTGACTAATGTGAGGGGATCCTTACTGTCTGCAAAGCCACCCGAAGCCAAAGTCATCTCATTTCCTTAGGCTCTTCCTTTGTCCTCAACACACTGCATCTTCTAGAACCTTCTTCAGTGAAGTGCTCTGCTGGATGTTAGTAATGTGTTTTGCTTTGAATGAAAGAAAAGGAGAAAAGGAATAGATAACCTGAGAGTTGCTGCTGTTTGGGAATTTATTCTCAAAATCTCAATGTCCTTTAACTAATAAGTCCTGAATGATAAATTAATTAAAAATTATTCCAAAATCTACATCATTTTCTTTTTGTAATACCTTCAGAGATATTATAGTAGACACACACATGTATACACTCGTGCACACACATGCATACACATGCACACACACACACACACTCTCCCTTCCTTATTAGTTGGGTTATATGGTAGAGGCTGTATCACTGGGTGTTTGCATCCTGGAGATGCAGAAAAAGAGGATTTGGTAACTGCTTAGCCCATGAATCCAAAGGTCTCAGCAATCCTAGTCTGGGCCTGAAGACTTGGAATATCTCTGGAGAATTTCTGGTCAGTATATACAACAAAGTACAAATAATAAGGAAGCTAGTGTCTGGTGTCTGTAGGAGATGGTGGCGGTGGCAGCGCAATAGTGGTGGGTGTTGGTGGTGATGGAGACACAGACACAGTCAATCGCTGCTTCTTCCCTGGGATGTATTTATACCTGATCCGCATTCAGTTGGAAGGTGTTGCCTACTCTGAGGGCAGTCTTTAACAACTTGGTTAATTTTTTCTGGACACATCCTCATAGACCCAGAGGTCTCCCAGGTGATTCTTTCAAGTGGACAATTGAAACAAAGCACCACCACTTGCATATATCTTGTAATGAAAACCAGAGCACAGAAGGGTCCCATGATCTCCCCCTGGAACACACTAGGCATATTTTAGAGCTGAAAACAGACCAAATCAGAAAATATTTTAGCTCAAAATTCTCTCTTTTCTTTCTACTTAGCTCTATTCCAGTATGCGGACCTCAAAGACAACCAACAGCGTTTCAGCCTCTCACGGTTTTCTGCCCTGTTTCATCAGCCAGGCAGTGACAGCATCACAGCTAACACATTTGATCTCTCAGTCGAGGTTTTGTGTACCTGTTTGTAGGACTCTAATCTTCCAGCTGGAGAGTTTCAGACGTTGGAAGAGAGAGAAACTACAACTTTAACAGAAACAATGTGTCCAAAATTTCAAAGCTTTTCTAGGGTTAGATTGATTTTTAAAAATTTACTCATTCTAATCCACTTGAAACATTCCAACATAGTATGTTACAAAAAGGAGAGCTCTTTGGATAAAGTTTCCTGTGTTACAAATCCACAAACTTTTATTTAGTTATAAGACTTTATATTCTCATACAAAGACTTTTTGATTCTTCTCAAAGGAAACAGCAATACATGATATTTCATCAATTACTTTTCCTGTTTTTGTGATTAAAATAATATGACAGAAGCAGCCTCGGGGATAAAGGATTTGTTTTTGGACCACAGTTCAAAAATACTCATTATGATAGGGAAGTTATAGTAGGAAGAAGTAGGGACAACCAGTACCATAGAAGAATAAGCATTGGTGGGTTGGATGGGGAGAGTAATGAGAGATGTCTTGATATAGGAGAGCCCATTTCAGGGTTAGGGAGGAACATGGTAGCAGGGACACTCACAGGAATCACAAAGATGACCCCAGCTAAGACTTCTAGCAATAGTGGAGAGGGCGCCAGACCTGACTTTCTACTGTAATCAGATTGGTAACTACCCTAATTGTCATCAGAGAACCTTCATCCAGTAGATGCAGAGATCCAGAACCAAGTACTCAACTGAGCTCCAGGAGTCCTGCTGAAGAGAGGGAGGAGACAAGGGGTCAAGGCCATTATGGGGGAACCCACAGAGTCAGCTTCCCTTAGCTAATGGGAACCTGCATGGGACTGACCTAGGTCCTTTGCAAGTGTATGACTTGGTCTGCCTGTGAATTTCCCAGCAATGGGATTAGGACCTGTTCCTGGCACCTAAACTGGCTTTTGGGAACTTGCCTTGACTAGCCTTGATTCATGGGAGAAGTTTGGTTTTCTCCCATCTAGATGTGCCATGCTTTGCTGCCACACTTGGGAGGCCTGTCCTTTTCTCATGCAGATGAAGGAGTGTATGTGGGGAGGCAGGGAATAGGAGGAGAGGAAGGAGGAAAATCTGTGATCAGGATGTAAAGAAAATGATAAACTTTAATAAAAAAAGGATCAGCAATGAATACTGACGTTCAAGTTATTTTTCCCTTTATAAAATATAAAGTTTAGGATCAGAGTTAATGGTGACTGGATCTTTCCATCTTAATTAACCTCATCAAGATAATCCACCACAAGCAAGCTGAATGGTCTATCCCCGGGTGAAACTAGATCTCATTATGTTGACTAGGTAAGAGTACTGTAGACACAATTATCCTCCTAATTTACCACATATTTCTACACTCAGTCAATCTTATTACATACGAATTATTGAATTTCAAATGTTCTCCATATATACAGCCACGTGTGAATACTGTTTATATATATATATAAATTATATACAGCTACACCACATTCATAAGGAAACAACTCATGCTAGTCTAAGAGTTGTATTGGAGAAAGATTAGAGCTACAGGGAAGGTGATGGGCAGGTCCACAGAGTAACTCCTCATGGAAACTCAGGCTTATGTGACTGGTTCAAGTCATCTATCTTCTCAGTGATAAATTGTTTCACATTTATTTTTCTTTACCAAATTATTATAGGTTGCATACACCATAATATTTGATTTCTAAGTGTTCCTAGATGTCATATACCTTTCTACAGGTAAGTATTCTCCCCTTCTGAGAAGTTAAAAATAAATTTACCAATACTCTCTATTATAGTCTTCATACTCAGAATCCCCCTATAATTCCTTAAAAGACATTAATAAGTAACCACATTGTATCATATTGACATATTATGATTAGTGCTGTTTCAATTTCAGAATTCAAAAGTTGTGTATTTGCTATCTATATATAATTTCTTTGGTGTCTCCTAAACCATAAAACTTTTATAAATACAGTTTACTCATTATTTATTATTCATTAATTTAATGATGATGAATTCCCTTGAAGGGTACAATGAATTTTCCATGCCAAACATCTCGTGGTTTGTTCTTTGAGTGGATACGGATGAAGCACTGTCAGCAGAGATGTCACATAGTTGCCGTGGGGACTGCTTGCTTTGCTGTGGAAGACTTTCCCATTGTTGGTGATGCTGTGTTCAATTACTCATGTAAATTAGCAACCACTAGAACATTTTATTTTAGGTACATGTTACCCTTTTAAGCAACCTATGAGCGCTGCTTTGAGACTCTGAGAATACTTCCATAGTTTTCTTTCCCATGGAAAGAAACTCTATTCTCTTTCATGATCTGTCTGCTGCTAAGCTGCCCACACAGGAGCTTTTTACTAAGTCCACCCTGTGCAGTTCTTCTCAAGCTTTGTGTGATGGGTGTCTGACTTTTGATAATTCACTAGTGTCTTTCCCTGATAGTTTCTCAGTGACCCTTAGCAGTTATCTCAGACTAAACTGTTTTCCTCACCTGTTAAGGTTTGCTCTCTTGTGTCTGAAGTTCCTTCAAACACCACTAGTTGGAACTAAAAACTGATGCTCATGGTCAGGGCATGCACAGTTGATTAGAAAAAGATTGCCGTTGTTTTAAAAACAATTTTTGTTTTACATTTTAATCTAGTGTGTGTGTGTGTGTGTGTGTGTGTGTGTGTGTGTGTGTGTGAAGGTCAGAAGATAACTTTCAAGGGTCAGTTCTCTTCTACCCTGTGGATGGAAGGGACTGAGCACAGGTTGTCAGGCTTGTTAGTGGCAAGAAACTTCTACCATTTTGCCAGTCTTTTTATGATTTTTTGAAATAAGACATAAAAATGGATCTGTACTATAATTTCTAATATTCTGTTGAGAAGCTCAATGAAGATTTTTATTTTCTTCTTGTATTCAAACTATATTTTCTCTTTAAAACCCAACATTCACAGCAAATTATAAATTTTGTATTTTATTTGTTTCTGTTTTATATGATTCCAGCTTTTTACTATGGTAGTTTTTTTAATCAGGTTAATTTTATGATATTTATGCTTCAATAAAGCTCATGGTTGAGATGACTTAGAAAGATGATGTCCTTCACAACTGCAATCAAGGTCAAAAGCACTAAACCTAATAATGAGATTTTGGAATGGAATTTGTCTATAATTTTTAAGATCTCTTGTTGTCTAAAGCAAAGTCCCTTTTTGTCCAACTTTCAAGTATTTTTATATTTCTGCACAAGTCCTATGTTAAAAAGGTTTAAATTTGCATCAGCCTAATGTTCAGAATGGTGAGCTTTTTTTCAATCAAGTTTTTTGACTTAAATGCAAAAAGTTGGGATTCCCTGTGACTTCATATGTACTTAATTCTTCTGTTTGTATCCCATTCTTCAGCCCCTTCTTGCTCTTCTCCCCATATCCTCCCCTTTTTTAGGACACACATATTTCATTACCTGGCCTTGTTCCTTTTCTTTCTATCTTAAGACTTTTTCCTTTTTAATTGTCACATTTACACACCCACCCACATCCACAACCACAAATGCACAAACAGATTTCAATGTAGATTCTGCATGTGAGCAAAAGCATGTAATGTTCGTCTGAGTCTGTCTGTCTGTCTGTCTGTCTGTCTCTCTCCCTCTCTCTCTTTCCCTCTGTCTCTCTTTTACTTAACATAAAGGGTCTCAGTTCCATCTATTTTCCTATTAATGTTATGATTCCACTTTTTAAAGCTGAATAAAATTGCACTGTGTACATGTTCTCTCCTTGCTTTGCCCATTCATTTAGCAAAGGTCATCGAGGCTGGTCCGTTTTCTGGACGTCATGAATTGTACAGCAGTAAATACGGCAAGCATTTCTGCGGTATGCTCTTCTAAGTTCCTTCATGTAGATATACAGCAGCCATATAGCTAGATCATATGGCAGTGAATTTTTAATTTCCGTGAAGAACCTTCATGCCAATTTCCACATCAGCTGCAGTAATTTGTGCATCCAGCAGCGTAAGGAGTCCTCATTCCCAGTCTTCACCATCACCCGTAGTCATCTTCCT